CCGACTGGACCCGATCGGCACATATTCCACAGCAAATTGCTATTAACAAGTCGATAAGCAAGTTGTGAAAATTAAACTTTTTGTCTTACCTAATGTAAGAAGCAAACTTTAAACTCGTGATTTCAAATTATGCTGCGCTTCATGCTTTTGCCCACTGTCATATTCATGTCATTTTCACTGTGCTGTATGTAAATTTGTGTTACCTTAGCTTTATTTGAAAAAATGTGATTCCGAATGCACACAAACTTCCCAGAATACTGAGTGCCCTGTTGGTTACAGTGTTTACTTCTTTTTTAATTATATTTTTATTAAATATTTGTTTATTTGTGAAAAATACTTTGTCATTTAAAGTATAAGCATGTTTATTTTACACATTTATTTTTTAGTCCATTTTCAAATTATTTCAAATTTCTTAAATATTAAATAAAATTATATTGGCTTTATATCGGCCATCGGCCACCCTGCTTTCCAAGATATCGGCATTGGCTGTCAAAAAACCAATATCGGTCGACCACTAGTTTTCAGAACATGCTGCAGATGCTTTTCACATCCATGCACAGCAGTATCCTTCTGTGGTTAAGTTTTTGATATTGAAAGATTTGCATTATTTATATAGAAACATTACAAAGGAAAAATGCATCCCAGAGGTTAAAACATGCAGTGCATCTTGTCCTCATCTCTAGCTTTGTTTTTTTTGCACATAAACTCTTCAGAAGATTAAAATAAGCTGTGGCAGATGCACAGAAATACAGAAGCAGTGCCATGTACAATGAAGAACATTCAATAATAAAAATACTTGCTGTGATACTGCAGTAATTTTTGCAGCTTTTTGTTATGCCTTGGAGATGCTTTTTTTTTGGCAAGATGTGATTTAAAATCACATAACTACTAGAGGCAGTTCTCTCAGAAATAAATATATTTTGTGCCAGTTATTTGTTCCCACATTTTATTTGAGTATTTCTTTCATGTCAGACATATGTATGCATAAAGAAAAAACAGATGACGTTATGTGTAGTCATTGATTGATATTCTCTTCATACATCATACTGTATCCATGCATGTGATAAATTTGTTATTCTGTTGCAGTTATCGAACATTATTGTTGTTTAATTATATATTTCATAGAGTACCATAATACAAGTACTGTAAATCTCAAATCTGCTTTGAAATACTGTGCTGTAATGTACACTGACTGCACACTAAAGATCACATGCATGTGCCTGTTAATGTGTGTTTGTAGCGAGCTTTATTGGAACAGAAGCAGAAAAAGAAACGTCAGGAGCCCCTGATGGTGCAGTCTAATCTGGACGGGCGGTCTCGAGTGCGCAGGACCCGGCAGTCGGAGGAACAGGCTCCCCTTGTGGAGAGCTACCTCAGCGGCAACAGCAGCATCATCTACCACGGTACAAAATACAGTTCAAAGCCACATAGCAAAAAAACTCTCTCCTAATATTTCAAATAACCATAATTCCACAGAGACTCAAGGGTCACGTTCACTCTCGAGGGCATGAGACGTTATTCCAAGCTGTCATTATGCTGACATGCCAATATCGACCCAAGCTGCTCAAACAGAGAGGCTCACAAAGGCCGGTGATTGAAAATGGAAATGCTTGTTTGCTGATTGTTCGGCAAACAATGCTGCCATTCTTCGCACTGCCAGCGGTACTGGCTTGAGTTACTCTATTGATCTCTGTCCCAGACTGCTCAGTGTTAGATAAACCCTTCCTACAATGTCAATGCAGACTTCAATCATCTATATTAAAACATTTGCCAGTGTCAGGGGTCTTTCCTCTGAACTATGAGAAGCCTTATCTTTGTGAGCTAACATTATTTTTAGCTGTTAATGCTGCATTGTACACAACGAATTAGCATAATAACACAGGCAATCACATTTTTAATATGTGTGATATAGATCTACATTATAGTTATGTACCTTGTTAGTTTAAAGCCCTTTGCACCAGTCTTATTTTAGTATGTTTATATAATACTATTGCAGAGTTTATTCATATTTTGAATTAGCTTTTAATTCTAATATTTTATATGATCAGTTTTAGTTGATGTTTTGTCATTTTTATGAGTTTTTTAAATATTTTTGTTTAGCTTGAATTATTTAAGTTTTAGTAATTTTAATACTTTATGGATTGCAACTTAAACTTTTGTTTTATTTCAGTTGTCAAGGCTTTTTATTTCAGCTTTATTTTAATGACTGAAAACCATTTTTAATCGTTTTAGTTTTAGTTAACAGTAACAGCACAGCTGTGCTGTAAGCAGTCTTTGAATGCTTATTATGACATTGCTTACCGATGCCTTTGACGAAGTTCTGATTGTGTCAGAAGTTTAGAGTCACATTCCTGATCCTACATCTAGTGAAGAATCAGTAGGAGTTTTTCCTTAGTTTTTTACAAACTGAGGGACATCTTACATTTTTTCAGTTTTCACAATGCCACACATTCTGTCAATAGAGTTTAACTGGTACTGAAACCAGAACATTCCCATAAATCATCATTCAGTTGATGCTGATGATTTGACACCTGTGCTGTGGGACTGTTATTTTCCTCACAGGCTTGTGTCGTGTTATGAAAGAGAGGAATGTCTGTTGGTACTAGCAGTATACAGTATTATGAATAATTTACCCTGTTTCCCTCAGTGTTGTGCTGTCTCATCAACGAGAGCACGTTTGGCGCTCATCCAGCATGAGCTGCAGTGAATTGTAATTGTAGTTGATTATGCCGTGCATGTTATTTCCTTCTTTGTACATTTGTATTTGTCAGCCCTATTGGATGATATGAAGTGGCATATATACTGTACCTCAAGGTGCATTTGCACAGAATATTTAGCTGCACAAAAGGCACATAAATGCACTAAATGCATTTGCACACAAAAAAAAGAATTGCAGAAGCAATGTTATTGCATAAAATTATAATTGAATGAGATGAAATTATAAAAAACCCTGAAATTATAATTAAATTGATTAAAATGTCATAATTGTAAATTCTGTCTCACTTGTTAAGCTTTGATAATAATTAGGCCCTATAGTTGAAATGACAACGTCAACGTTTGAGGGTTCCCTTTCGAGGGAACTTCGAACTGCGTCCTCTAGGGGTCGCTATGGGGAACGCCTTCAGCGTGACTGGTGTCTGAAGCATACATCTAAAAATGACAATAACATTGGCCGGCGACAGCCTATGACGTCATTACCCTGCGCAATCACAGTATAAAATGAGCCTGAGTCATGCTCGGGAGCCATGGTTGGTTTGACCCACCTGCTAAGTCAGGACCTCCTGCTGTTGACCGATTACAGTGATGGTTTCACTCTCATCTTTGGCTTGGACACGCAGCCTGGGCTTCTGAGGAAGCCTCCCAGCATCAGGTCCCCAGTATAAAGCTGCAACCTCAGGACCTGCGGGTCCTTCTCGTGGGCTAGTACTCTTCTGAGTACATGCTTTGCGACATGCTCCCTATCCTCTGGCCAGGTGCGAACTACACATTTCTCACCCTGAGGGGTCTCCCGAGATTTGAATCGTTCCTTAACCTTCATGCACGTTCTCTGAGCTAGAGCTCCTCTCGCTGAGGCATTGAGGAGCTCAACGCTCCATAGACGGTCGGGCCCGTGGGTACTCACTGTCACACTGCCCTTATGGTTGAACCAGTAATCACCCCTCTGCTGAGTGGGCTGGAATACACTTCATTCCCTGAGGTAAGAGGGATTTGTGTTTCTGTGGAAACCCCTGTTTTGTGCTTCTGCTCTGAGGAGCAGTAAGCTCTATATGCATGAATGGTTATTGGGTCCCGCTATTTCTTCAGATTCTATCGGGTCTGGTTATAGGGGACCCACGCTCTCTAACGAGATAGAGAGCATGAGACCGTGCCCAGCTGCACCAGGGGACTGTCTCTTACTGGGCCCTGCTGGGTTACCCCTTCTAATCTAGTGCCCCCTTCTGGTCGAGCTGAGAAGTGCTCCCCTCTCTGTGAGGGTTAGCAATGAGTCGCTCCCAGTATGTGCTGTAAGGGCTCGCCTCAGCTTGAGAGCTGAAAGCACTGCTCCCGAAGGACCCCATTTGCAACGAACTAAGTGTTAGGCCCGTCTCTGTCGCCTCCTTGGTCAGTTGCCTTTATGTTGGGACCCTGTTGTTCCCTTAGAAATGTGTGATCCCCTTCTAGCAGGATCCCATTTCT